CACTGACTTTGGCCATCTTGGAAAGGTCCTAATACCCAGTACCTTCACAAGTGATCTTACTTGAAAGTGTGTCTTTGCAAACATACTGATAGGAAAGTGAACTTACAATGATTAGAGGGGGCTCCTCGCAGCAATGACTAACCTCCAAATCCCCACTGCCTGTGAATGTGGTCTTTAGCACCTTTTTGAGGAATGCCTCTGAATTCAAAACCCCCTGGTCTTAGAGTTTCTGTTGCTGTGATGAAACGCCACGAGACCCATGACTAAAGCAAATGTGGGAGGGAAGGGTCTGTTTTGTTTACACTTCCACACTGCATTCATTTCTGAAAGAAGACAGGGCAAGAACTCAGACAGGACAGGAACCTGGGGACAGGAACTGATACAGAGGCCATGGAGGGGTTCTGGCTGTTGACTTGTGCCTCAGTTCATATGGAACCCAGGACCACTTGCTCAGGATTGGCACCCCCAGAATGGGCTGGGCCTTCCTACATCAATCACTAATTAAGAAAATGTCCTACAGACTTGCTTACAGCGTGAACTTTTTGGAGCCCATTCCCTATGCTGGGACACCACGCTCTGCCTTGATGCAGCAGGGAAGGGGCTTGGTCCTGCCTCTACTTAATGAGCCAGGATTTATTGGCTCCCCATGGGAGCCCTTACCCTTTGGGAGGAGTGGATGGGGGAGTGGTCTGGGGGAGGAGGTGGGGGTGGGGTGGTACAGGAGTAGGGGTGGGAGGGACAATGTGGTTGGAATGTAAAAGGAATAAAGAATAATAATAGAATGCACACTCGTTCAGGCAGGACCTTGTCCAGTGCTGACTCCCCAGAGCTAGTGGTCCACAAATGGATGGGGGAAATAAGTGACTGTGTGGGAACAACCTCACACTTTCTATTCGTGAACTTTTGATTTGCTTATCACTAAACCTCTATCGAGAGCGTTTAACTTCGATTAAACTTTCTGACAATTTCTACCCCTCTTAGGTGCAGAACAACACTGATGCCCTTTCTTGCCTGGCTGTTGTAAAGGGAAGAGTTAGTTTTAAAGTCATTTGTGAGAAGACCATAGATACTTCACATGTAAGAGTTGAGTTTTTAGGAACCGATAGGTGTGAGGGCTGGCAAGACAGCTCAGGAGGTAACAGCGTTTGCTGCACATGTGGTGACCTGAATTCAATCCTCAGAACTTCTGTGAAGGGGGAAGGAAAAACCTACTCCACAAAGTGGTCCTCTACCCACTACAGGAGTGCCATGCCACACACATGCATGAACACACCACCCACCCACACTAGCAATAAATGTTTTAGGTTATTTTTTAGATCCATAGGCATACATACAATTCACAGAGGATCCTATAGCTGTTATATACTATATATGCTATCTATACTATATATAGTATTTCCTATAGCCTAGGAGATATAATCAAAACGAATCTCTTGATACTTTTCCATGCTTGTACCACTTACACAAGCAGGCAATCAATGTTTAATTGCAATGACTCAGTCATCAATAAGAACCACCAATAAATGTTTGCAAAATTATTTAAACTCACTGGCATGTGAGAATCCACCCATTTCCAACCAAGATAAACTGAGAACAACAGATAATAGGAGGGAGTTTCCCTCCTGATTGATTGACACTTTGTAAAGATGAGCAGACGTAAGTTTCAAAACTCTCGGGCTTACACAAACTGCTTTGCTGTTCCTGAATGAGAAGTGTAGAAAGTGAGCAGTGGAAGGACGGCACTCTAGGCTGGCCTTGGGAAAATGTCAGCCACTGACACATTTTGGACAAACAGGTGATAAAATAGAAGCCAATTGGCTTTCCTGCTCCCTCCCCTGACAGATGTGAGAGGCAGGAGCTCAGCAGTGTGGAGCCAGATTGCTGAAAGCTCTTCCAAGATTTGTTTCTGGGTGTGAGTACCGGGACTTGTAACTACATTTGTTCAGACGAGGTAAATCACCTCTTATGCAACACCATGACGGAGGAGCACTCCCTGCGCTGCTGTTTCAAAGGTAGATACAGGCGTCCAATCCCAAATCAATGCAGCCTTCTCCAGGAATCAGCCTCTCAGAAAATCCTGGTTTCCATGGAAGAGCTTAGCTCTGGGAATTGGGACGATCCAGCAAGTCTTCAGATGGAAGTCTGGTAGTGGAGCATTTCCGGTGGCATGACAAAGCAATGGTGGGCGTTTGGCTGGGCTGTGTTGTTCCCTAAAGTGTGTGGGTGGAATAGCTCCTGCAGTCAGAGGGCAGGGACCTGGGCTGATTCATCCCGCAACCCCCTCCTTCTGGCACAGCCAGCACCTTGTTCAATCCTTCATCACCTTGATCTCCTCTCCTTTCATCCTTGCTCTTTGTTCCTTTGAATCTGGGTCCTGTTCTCTTGCCTCATCAACACCCTCAATTACTTACCTCTTTGCCCTTGTTCCTGAGCAGTTATCTAGCTGGGTTCTCATTTATATTGATCATTTGGTCTGTATGGGCGCGGGGGGGGGGGGGGGAGTAATTCAGCTGTGCCAAACTGGTATCTCCACAAACTACTGAATAACAATCTTGCAGATTTATTTCATTTGTTACATTTGAAGGACAAAAATTATAGCCACCATTCTGATTGTTTTGTTTTAATACAGGTCTCATGATTAATAGTCCTGGCTGGCCTGATATTCTCCATGTGGACTAGGCTGTTCTCAAACTCATTGAGATTGGTCTCCTTCTCTCTCTCTCTCTCTCTGCCTACCAAGTGCTGGGACTAAAGGCATACACCACATTAAAGGCATGACGACCATTCTTCTTCCTATTAACCAGACGAGAAAACTGAGACTTGCATTTCCGAGTATTGTGTTGTAGGGTGCGGGGTTCTTAGAAAAGGCTGCGCTTTATTGTTCGTTAGGATAGTTGCTGTTAATTAATCTTACAATTAATCTTCTTTGACATTCCCTAACAAATCTTGATTAAATTTTCACTTTGGCTTATTCTCTCAAGATATTTTAGAGCCCTTAAAAGAGTGGCATTAGGATGGAGAGATAGTTCAGCCATTAAAAAGGTCAGCTCACAACCAAAAATCTAAGAGTGACGTTAGAAACCCAAAGCAGTTGGGCACAGTGGTGAGTGCCTATAATTCCAATCACCTGGGAGGCAGAAGCAGGAAACTCTGAGTTTGAGGTTAACCTAGATTATGAAGTATGAATCTGTCTTAAAACAAACAAAAAAACCAAGCGTGTTTGCTTTTTCGAAAGCTCTGGAAAAGGAAACTAAGGTGAAGCATTGAGTTACTGCTGAATTCTAGGAATGAGATGACCATTTTCTCTACACTGTCTATTATTGTTGCCTTTGCTAATGTGTATAATCCTTTTCATTTCCCTGAGTTGGGGTGATCTCTAACAATGCCAGGGGCTCTCGCTAACTCTATCCAGGTGTCTTCTCCCTGCCTTCTTGATGGAGATTGTGTTCAGAGATTTTTACAGTCATGCTTCTAAGATGGGGATGCAGAAATCACGTTCTTCTCGGAGAAAAGCATTCCTTTTCTTGTGTGTTAGCGCTGCCTTTCCCAGGCCTTCCAAACCACTACTGGGTTTGTCAGCTCCCCGAGGTTCACTCCTGTTAAGGAATGTCCAGTGGAGATACTGCACTCAAAAAGGAGGTGACAAAGAGTCAGAAGTGGGCGAGTGGTGTGGCCCCCATTCTGCCTGCTGCTAACTTGCTGTGAATGACCTCTTGTTAGTTGGCTGAAGTGACTTCATCGGCACCAGAAAGGAATGGGCTGCTCTTGCTACTTAAAGTGTAGTCTGTGAACCTTTCACATCCTTGTTATCTGGAAACTAGTTAGAATCAGAGACCCTGACCCAGCGCTTATCAATCAGTCAACTGTTAAGGAGATTTCTGTGTTCATTAAAGTTGAAAAAGTACTAGGCTTCTTGATTCTTATGAATTTTCTTAATTATTTTAACTGACAAATACAGTCATATTTTAACGTTAGACATAGCTCAGTCAAGCAAGTTAACACAATGAGTTATCTTGATGCTATACATGTTAACCCCAAGTCCCCTCGATAATGCATGGAAAAGTAACAAGAATTGGTTTGATGTGTGACACTGCATACCTTTGATCTATAGCCTGTGCAAACACCTGTCAGAGCAGCACATTGTAGTGATCTCCCTAGCAATGAGGGAGTCCTGTGCGCACCTAGCGATTAATTGATGGGCTGGGGGGGGGGGGGGGGAGGTAGTTGGAGACAGGGTTTCTTCTCAGCCTCCCAAGTGCTGGGATTAAAGGTGTGTGTCACCATGCCTGGCTTCAACCGACTTTTTATATTCCCATTATAAGGAAAGCTGACGACTGGTGGAGGCCACTAAATATCTATTAGTAGAGCCAGCTCACTATTAATTTTAATGATAGGAAAATACTGATACAACTCTCACTGAAACGGGTAAATATATTTGCTCTTCAGAAAGCAGAAGGATGCTGTCGGCTTTCGTTCTCGTCTTTCAAGTTCTGGAAATGCTTTTCCACTGCTCATTTCAAAATCTCACCGAGGCAGGAACTTTTCTCCCTGCTTCACAGCTATAGAATGCTAGGAAAACAAAAACTAATTTAATTGCTGGGCGAAAAAGCAGCAACAGGAGCCTCCTGCCACCTAGAGTCACAGAGGCACCCTACACCCGAGTCCCTTCCTCCTCCAGACGACAGCAGCAGCAGGGAAGGTGGAGTTAGTCCTGTGAACCGGAGCGGGTATAGTTTCCAGTTGTCCCAATTTCCCACCGAACTTTAAACACTGACGTACAAGTCTGGAATGTACCATTCTCTTAAGTAGGTCGGCCCATCCAAAATTGAATAAGAAATTCCCCAGAGCAATTTCAACATTTCTTCTCTATAATATTTCCAAAGTCGATATCTACCAAAATCATTCTGAAACAAATCTAAAAGTCTTTCCACTCCCCCAGCTCAACTTTGGACCAGAGCTACTTGGACTCGTTTATACGTCACTTCCTGACATAGAGCCGGGAAACCGGAAGCCACACGCGCCGTGTGGAGGGTGTTCGTACCACTGTGGAGTTGTTATGGGCCGGAGGAGAGCGCAGGGTAGCGGGTCTCTGGGCCGGGTACTTATCCGGCATCAGACTCAGCGAAACCGCAGCCACCGTCATACTGACTCCTGGGTAAGAAAATCCTTACTATCCGTATCCTTTCCGTCTTGTTCTGGAAGCCTCCACGTTACAAAAGTTAGAGCAGAGTCACGCCTGAAGCGGGTCCCAGCAAGGCGCAGGGCATAGAGGGACTAGCGTGTGATGAGATGGGAATGAAAACGTGTACAGCCTTTCATGTCGGAATACTTGCCTGTGTTTGATCTTTGCTCTAGAAGCCGTGGGCGCTCATGGAAAACTCTAAAGAGAAAATAATTTGTTATCTCCGTACGCAGCCTAAGGTTGGCCCGGGACTCCCTTCCTCCTGCCTCTGCCTGCAGAGTACTGGAATTACAAGCCGTGGCCATCACGCCTGGATGGATCTTTAAACTTTCCGATTTTAATTATCTAGAGAATCGATTTTCTAGAAGTGTTTGGTTCCATCAGAAAAACAAATAAGTTCTATCCCAGCTTTCCCTTCTGTTTCCTCCCTGGGGTTGAGCTCACGGAGTTAACATTGTCTCTGGGAGTTTGGGGAGCCTTAAAATGAAATGAAAGCCTGGCGATGGTGGCGCACGTCTTTAATCCCAGCACTCGGGAGGCAGAGGCAAGTGGATCTCTGTGAGTTTGAGGCCAGCCTGGTCTACAAGAGCTTGTTCCAGGATAGGCTACAAAGAAACACTGTCTCGAAAAACCACACACACACACACACACACACACAGAGATTACTTTAATCGCAGCACTCAGGAGGCAGAGATAAGCAGATCTCGATGAGTTTTAAGGCCAGTCTGGTCTACATAATGAGTTGAAGGCCCACCATGGCTACTGTCTTTTTTAAAAAAAATGAATGAAGTGGTTGATTTTTGTTTATTGTTCTAGTTGTGACTTTTATTCTCCAGAATATTTGAAAAAAATTGGAGTTTTCGTTAAGATCTTGTGCTGGATTTGTCCCCAGTGCTAATTTGACCACATGTCTTTCACACTCTCCCACTTTTCAAACAATCAGTCTTAGGAATACACACGGGCTTCTCTTTATTCAAGTGTGGACATTGATTAGTGGTCATTTAACTGACCTCGTGGTGACTTCTTATTGTAGTACTCTTTGGGGAGTTGTGGGGTGGTTGAATCTAAATGTTAAAAAGAAAGATTCTAATTTGTATCCTGATGTTTATTAATTCTAAGCTTTTGATTTTAATTTCTTTTTTTTAACTGTTTGCACCTGTATTTAAGCATTTACCAGGATGGTATTTTATCTGGGTTGTATGAGAAAATCAACTTTATCGTGTGCACCTAGATCTTTTTAATGGTTATCCCAGCCAGTCTAGTCTTCCAGCCCTTGGGGGTTTGGGGGTCAGGAGACTAAGGGGAAGTGGGGAGTAGATCTCTACACAATTCAGGATGGCACTTAGACCTGTGGCCTCTGTCTCCCACTCGTGTGATAACAGCGTGCACCACGATGCTCAGTTTAAAATATCCCTTCTCATAGTCCCTATGGAAACTTTTTGCGACTGACTGGCAGGATTCAAGTTCTACCTCTCTACTGTAGGCAAATATTTTACCTACTTAAACCTCAGCTTTCTAAATAGTAAAATTCACTTCCAAAGAGTCAGAGATAAAATTGAATGATGTCAGGGAAATGCCCTTGCTGAGGTAAGGAAGTGTTCGTTTAAATATTTGATCTGGGGTTTTGCATTGCTGGATGGCAACGTCACTGACAGCAAAGGACAAGTGTCCTTCTGAGGTGTGGCCCAGCCTACCTAGTGTTCGTTATTCGTAGTGTACATTCTAGAAGAGGCAAAGCACCCCAGGACACAAACCAGTACTGGGAAAGTTTAGAGCTCTTCGATGCCAAGAGAGAGGAGAGCTGCTTCAGTCTGTGCCGTGTTTAATTTGTAGCTGCACACGAGTGAACTCAACGATGGCTATGACTGGGGGCGGCTCAATCTCCAGTCGGTGACGGAACAGAGCTCCCTCGACGACTTCCTCGCCACTGCAGAGCTCGCAGGGACTGAGTTTGTGGCTGGTAAGTGGCTCATCAGCTGGTGCCTGCGACACTGGTCACTGCCGTCCGTCTGCTCCCGTCATGTGAACAGGCTTTCCTGGTCACTGCTGTCTTCTCCCGTCATATGAACAGGCTTTCCTGGTCACTGCCGTCTTGCTCCCGTCATGTGAACAGGCTTTCCTGGTCACTGCTGTCTTCTCCCGTCATGTGAACAGGCTTTCCTGGTCACTGCCGTCTGCTCTGTCATGTGAACAGGCTTTCCTTAATCCAAAGGCGGGGTGGGAAAGTTCCACGCGTGAAAGGCAGAGTCCGCACTGGTTTTTAAATTCATCTCTAAAGAACACTTCAGATGTCAGGTGTGGTGGCGCATGCCTTAAACCCCAGAACTCTGGAGGCAGAGGCAGGTAGATCTCTATGAATTCCAGGCCAACCAAGGTTATGTCATAAGACTGTCTCAGAAACAGAGCAGAAGCCCTTCAGATTGTACATCGTCATATCAAGTGCAAAACATATCCTTGCTGCTGTCAGGCACCTTGTACATACTCCCTGCTGTGTGTGTGTGTGTGTGTGTGTGTGTGTATGTGTGTTCGTGTTCTAAGTACTTAGAAGAGTAACTGATAAATAGTATTCTAAGTTATTTCTCTTACTGTTATGAATGGCAGGCTGCTTAGCAAGTCATTCATTTGTTCAAAATGCCTTTATTTAGCACCAGCTACTCTCAAACATTGACCTGGCTACTCAGAATAGTGTTAAAAGATAAATTTATTTCTTTAAAATGTTCTTTTATATGTTTTGAAAGAAGTCTATAGAAAACAATGGGCCATAAAAGATGGAGCTCATGATAGCTTCTATCTGACAGAAGATTGATAAGTAGGTACTAGGACAGGAGATAGCCATTCACAGTAGTACACACTTGTAATCCCAGCACTTGGGTGAGCTAATGCAGGATTTCCCTAAGTTTGAGGCCAGCCTGGGTTACAAATAGTAAACTCCCAGCTTGGGCTACATAGCAAAACCCTATCTTCAAACAAAAATCAAAGCAGGTAGTGAGAGCATCCAGACAAGTTGTGAAACAGCAGTCAGTCTGCTTTGTTCAGAAATTGTTAGGGGTTTGGTGTTGCTGGTCAGGGACACGCGGTAATGAGCACAGACACCAGGGGGTGTGCAAGGGCCAGATTCCAGGGAGGATAGAAGTTTCACCACGTGCCTTTCACCCCAGAATGCAGAAGAATGTCACTGAGTTTGAAGCTAGCCTGGTCTACATACTGAGTTCCAGATTATCCAGGGCTGTGTTGTGAGACCTTGTCTTTAAAGGGGAGGGGTGGTGAAGGGTTCCTTTATAGGTGTTTTAAGTAGTAACATGGTTGCAGAGGTAATTTTCTATTGTGTTTTGTTGGTGGGGGTGGGCAGGGTTTGTTTTGATTTGGGGTTTTTTGTATTGGGGGGGCGGTAGTCATGTTCCTACCTCCTAACTTCATACAGTTGTGGTCTACAATGTGTCCTAATCTTCACACGCAGTGTGTAGGTGGTGGCTTTCAGGCTGACCGACAGATACATCACTACACGTGGTTCTTTTGTGTGTGGTAAGGTAGTCTACTCTCTTGGTAGGTTTCATGTGGACAATACACTGTTCCTAGGTGAGGTCGCCATGCTGGCCATGAGCTGTCTGGAGCTCCCCCTGCCTCATTCATTCACACTCTGATGATCTTCTTCCTGTTTCTTCCCCATAACACCATCCACTCCTGCTTCTACATCTCCACCTTTTCAGTTGTACATCTTGTGAGCTCTTTGTTGCTCTTTGCCTGGCTTATTTCCATTGGTGTAATGCTCATCCACAGTAGTACACATGGTGAGATCTTCTGTCTTGTTAGGGCTGAGAAGTCCTCTTTTGTACATGTGTACAGTTTGTTCCTCAGTACAATCAATTGTCCCTCAAAACCTGTAGAGACAGTTACAGCATACTTACCCCACCCCAACCCCATTACACAAGTTCTTAATTCCCTTATATAAAATGTCATAGCATTTTATAGAACCTCTACATAGTCTCCTGTGTGGAGTGTGCATGTGTGTGTGGAGGGGAGAGGTGTCTGGATGTTTTACTGCATGTCTATCTGCACCAGATCTGTGCGTGGCCGTCTCAGCCCTTATTTATTTCTTTTACTTATTTTTTTTAAATAAAGATACGGTTCTCACTATAGTACAAACCAGCCTTGAGCTTGCTGTGTAACCCAGTCTTATCCCAAGCTTGTGATCCTCCTGTCTCACCATCCTAAGTGCTGGGATTATAAGCATGTGCCACCACCTTGGCCCTATATTCAATTTTTTGAGGAACCTTTTTTTCTGTTTTCCATAATTGTTGTACAAGACTTGAGTGTTCTAAAAGTTGACTGGTGGTTTTAAGGAAGAAAGATGAATTCGGAGACATATCTTAGTCAAATAAAGAAGCGAGTCAGAACTGGAGGAAGGAGTGCGGACAGGAATGTTGGGTGCAAGAATGAGCCAGGCCTGCTGGACAAAGCTGGCAAAGAGCAAGGAGCTGAGTAAACTCCTGGGCTTTCCCTGTCACAGTTCCCTCACCCTTGGCCGTGGATGACATCACAAAGACTGTTAACAGATGTTGGTGAGGCTGTGGAGAAACTGGAACTCATCCATCGTTTGCAGATAGTGCAGCTCCTTAAAGTTATGTTGGCAGTTTCTCAAAAGGTGAAATGAAATTGCCATGTGATCCAGCAGTTCCCCTATTGGATATATACCCAAGATAACCAAAATCATGTCTACATGAATACTTGGACATGGATATTCTAGGTTATATCATTTGCCATTAAAAAGCAAAATGAAAGCACCCTGATCTCCATTAGCTAATGATTGGATGAACAAGATGTGATACATATATACAGTGGAGTATTATTTGACCATGAATAGGAGGGAAGTTCTGATGTGGACTGTACCACTCAGGACCTTTTAAAACATTCTGAACTGGGGATATGATTCAGTGGTAGAAAAATTGCCAAGCATGTGCAAAGTCCTGAGTTCAGTGATCAGCACCAGAAAGACTAAAAACATAGGATCCTACTGATATGAAAAGTCCAGAATAGGCATATTTACAAAGACAGAATAGAGAATGGGAAGTACCTGCTAATAGACAAACATTTCTTTTTGAGATTTCTGTTTAAATGTGGATTACCTCCATAAAGCTGAATTTTTTTTTTAGTTTTTTTTTTTGTTGTTGTTGTTTTTGTTTTGTTTTGGTTTTTTTTTTTTTTTTTCGAGACAGGATTTCTCTGTGGCTTTGGAGCCTGTCCTGGAACTAGCTCTGTAGACCAGGCTGGTCTCGAACTCCCAGAGATCCGCCTGCCTCTGCCTCCCGAGTGCTGGGATTAAAGGCGTGCGCCACCATCGCCTGGCTTATAAAGCTGAATTTTTAAAAGGCTCTTAGTACCTTTTGCCAGACCATTTTATTGTAGTTTTTTAGGTGAGTGGGCGAGAAAGAATGAGAATGAAAGAATCATGGATTATGTTATATGGGTTGAAAAACAGCACACACTTTTAATCCCAGTAAGGAAAGTGGATCTCTGAGATGGACCAGATTGTCTTCATAGTGAGTCCAGGACAGCCAGTGCTACACAGTGAGACCCTGTCCTTCTGAAAAGAAGATTGTTGGGTTTGCAGGATGAGTGAGGAGCTGGAAGTGTACGTCGTGAACCAGCATGCCGCTTCTCCACGAGTGCTCTGAGGGGTTCTTCTCTGTGAACTAGCATGCTGCTTCTCCCCAAATGCTCTGAGGTGTTCTTCTCCTGTTACTAGGCAGCAATTACCCAAAGGCCTTGTTCATAAACACACTCCTGGCTCTTCCTCTGGAACCTCTGATTCAGCAAGTCAGGTCTAGACCAAAGAATTTCCATTTGTAACAAAGGCATAGAAAGTGTTGCAGCTGACTGGGAAAGTGTGGGAGCTGAAGTGCTCTATCAGCAGGGAGACCGCTGCTCTGGTGTGGACAGGCTGAACTGTTGAGCAGCAGCTGAACAGATTAACTCCAGGTGTTACCATGAAGGATCTCCAAAGCCTATTGTCAGACGAAAAGACTAGGTTGTAGGGCAGTATGTTTAGTGTGGGCCCATTCACAATACCTGAGCAGGCTGCAGATGTGGATGAAGCACTCCTGTCACCCTCACACTGTGTGTTAGGTCCCCAGGACCCACATGTAGAAGGAGAAACCCTCCTCCATCAAGCTGTCTTCTGACCTCTACGCGTACCATACTCCCCACCCCCATAAATAAAAGTGTAAGGCGTATGTGAATTTTAGAAAAAGTGACTCAGAAGACTACATGTTTAATTCAAGGGATTGAATTCTAGGACTTGGAGTGGCAGAGAGAAGGTTGGAGGTGGGTCAGAGGGAAGGTTTACAGGGAGAGCTTCCTTTGCAATTGTGTGGTTAAAAGTAAAACAGGTGACTAAGGGGCAGGACGGGTTTTTAGACTGGAGGAAGGTGAGACTAAAATGAGGTTGGAAACATCTGGAAAGGTCAGTTCCTGCCAGGGAAGGAGCACAGTTTCCTCTGGGGTGGGACAAAGGGATTAAAGGTGGGACATCTAGGGACGTGTGGAGCCACGGTACGCATCTCTCAGCTTCCATTGTCTCTTTGTGAGGCTGATGACAAGGCTGTCCTCAGGAAAGGGAAGTTCAGAACAGTTGCCACTTAGGGACTGGGGCAGGTTAACCAAGAGCTAGAACGAGTTCCTCCTTCCATAAGAAGGCTGGGGTCTCAGCCTAACCATTGCCGTGCCAGGTCACCATTTTATGGTGCCATTTCCTGTAGCAGTACACATCTCGTAACACATAGAAACAAAAGCAGGTAGGTAGAGTTTAGGGTACAGTGGAGTAAGGAACCAGCAGTGGTTAAGGATGGACAGTACGTAATTACAGTTAATCACTGAAAAAATTACCTTTCAATGATACGCAGTAGGCTGGGAGAAAGGCAGGAATCAAGGGGCTAAATAGGGGTGCAGTGGGCAGTCACCATTAGACGGAGAAGCTAACACCATAGAAGCAGCAGGTATGAGGAGTGGTTGATACTGAGAGTCTAGTGGGTTAGCGGTAGTATAGGCTACAGGACTGCAGGATCTTATGAATTGTGATGGTTTGAGAGGGGTAGCAGGCTGCAGTCCTTGCTCAAGTGAAGAGCATTGTTGTTGAAGATGTTAGCTTTGAAATAGAGACTTCGCTTGCCACTTCAGGAGGAAGCGTGGCTGCCTTCTCGGGTTCTCTTCTCATGTAGTCCAGGTGTTGGCTGAGCGGTGAGCAGCCTACATGTTAGAGCCCTAGAGCATACATCTCTCTATTACTAGTTCACACGAGATCGCCTGCTTTGTTGTTTTTTGTTTTTAATGTGATATAGTCATTAATGGTGACCATTAATATGTATCTTGTATAAATTACAGCCATAGTAGTTTGCTTGTTCTAATGCAATATCTTTTGCTAAATCTTTGCCTCTACTCCTCTTAGCTTAAAACTATTCTGCATAGGTAAAAGGAGGAAACTTACACTGAATCTTTATAACCCTTTCTCATTGTTGCTGTTGCTATTTCCATGAAGTCCGTTCACCATATAGACTCATAACATAGCACCCAAAGAAGTCAGCTTTTGGGGAGTTTTAGTGAGGTAGTAAAGATCTCTTTTTCTTGTAAAGTTATCTGTGTATTAATTTAGAGATTAACCTAAGAAAGCTTAAGTTCTGTTTTAGGGAGTGGTTAGTATTCAAGTATCAAAATGATCAGCATTCAGTATTTTAAATTACCTTTTTTGGATTTTGAGTCAGAATCTCATGTATCCCAGACTAGCCTCAAACTCAGTTTGAATTCCTGAACTGGTCCTCCTGCCCCCACTCACAAGTGCTGGGATCGCAGGTGTGTACCACTCCTCCCCGTCATCCACTAGGCAGGCACTGCAGCAACTGAGGGGCATCCTCAGCCTCTGAACTGCATCTTGACTAATAGCGCTTTTCTTTTCTGTGAACAGAGAAGCTTAATATCAAGTTTGTGCTCCCTGAGGCTAGAACTGGACTGCTGTCTTTTGAGGAGAGCCAGAGAATTAAGAAACTCCATGAAGAAAACAGACAGTTCTTGTGTATACCGAGGAGGTAAGTTGAACAAGAATTTAGATTATTAGAAGACATAGGACGGGCTAGGTGGTGGTGGCGCATGCCTTTCATCCTAGCACTTGGGAGGCAGAGACCAGCAGCTCTCCTAGTTCGAGGCCAGCCTGATCTACAGAGTGAGTTCCAGGACAGCGAGAGCTACAGAGAGAAACCCTGTCTCAACACCCCCGTCCCCTGAAAAAAGTTGACATAGAATGGGGCTGCAGAGATGGCTCAGTGGTCAAGAGCTGACTGTTCTTCTAAAGGACCAGACTCAATTCCCAGCACCCACATGGCAGCCCATAGCTTTCTGTAATTCCAGTTCTGGGGCATGTGATACCCTCTTCTAGCCTCCTCACGCACGGCACCAGGCACACACACGGCGCACAGACATACATGCAGGCAAAAACAGTCATACACATAAAATGATAACTTATTTTTTAAAAAAAAAAAAGACATAACCACTGAATATATTCTTAGTTCATAATTTTCCTGCTTCCTTCTTAACTGCCATTTATATCCAAATTCTCTTTTTATTTTGGTATTATATATAAAATCCTTTCTGTGATTGTTCCAGACCAAATTGGGACAGAAAAACTAGCCCAGAAGAACTGAAGCAGGCAGAGAGAGATAACTTCCTAAAATGGAGACGCCAGCTTGTCCGGTGAGTATTGGACTCTGAAGATTTGTCTGGAAGCCCTGGGTTTGGGCGTTTTCGCTTGCATTGCCATTTGCCTCCTGAAATTGATTCTTTTAAAAGGGAAATCCTGGGGCTGGTGAGATAGCTCCGCAGGTAGAAGCTCTGCCAGGCTTGATGGTCTGTGTTCAGGTCTCAGGACCCACAGGGTGGAACGACAGAACCAGCTCCCGCATGTCTGTTGACCTCTAAGCATGCACACAAAGTAAATAAATAAAATGCATTTGGGGGGGGGGGGGGCGGTAGTGTCTATTCCAAGTGGATTTTGGTGTGTGAATAGACAGCATTGCAGGGTGTAGGGCTGTGCACAAAGGTTCTTAGTGGTTATTCTGCTCCATTCCTAGTCTTTTCTTATTATGTGTTTGTGTTTGCCTGAGCGTGTGTACGCACCATGTGCATATATTGCCAGCAGAGGTCTGAAGAGGGCATCCGATCCCCTGGAACTGGCAGCTGTGAGCTGCCATGCGCATGTTCTGCAGGGGCAGCTGGTGCTCTTAACTCGGGTCCTCTGAGCATTCTTCTGTGAGAGTTGTGGGAGAGAACCTTCTGCGGTATAAGGATATAATTTGAATTTGGTGGAATTCTTGTATTGACTCAATAATAAATACATTAAAATAATTGGACAGAGCCTGGTGTAGGCCTGCAATTCCAAGGCCTTCCTAGGTTACAAAAAAAGTAAAAGGAGGGCTGGGATGTGGCTGAATGATAAGAGCACTTGGTTGTCATGTGCAAACCTTAAGTCTAATCCCCAGTATCCTAAACAACATAATAATTTGCAGTATTTGTATATGTGTCTTTTTAATGTAATGAATTTGAGTGTTTATAATTCATTAAAACTATTATGATCAGATAGAGATGTGACCTTCTCATTCTAAAGCCAGGCTAGAAGAGGAACAAAAGTTGATATTGACTCCCTTTGAACGAAATTTGGACTTCTGGCGCCAGCTCTGGAGGGTCATTGAGAGAAGGTGAGTAATGTTTTCCGTGTTTAATGGAGACATTGCAGTGATGTGACTGACTGCAGTGTTGACATGTGCTCCCGGCTCTGGATCCAGCAGGAGCGAGATTAAGTTACACAATGAGCTGTTGAAAACTATGAAAACCAGACAGTGGCCCTGGCTAAACTATAAACAATCACAAAACTAAACCAAAAGCCTAAATCTGGGAAAGAGAAGTGTTTATAGGCTGGGGTGGAGCTAAGAGAAGGAAAGAGAACATAATCAGAATGCATTATATGCATGGATGGAATTTTCAGAGAAATTCATTTTAAAACATTAAAACCTGGAGCCTGGAGAGATGGCTCAGTGGTTAAGAGTGCTGACTGCTCTTCCAGAGGATCTAGGTTCAATTCCCAGCATCTATATTGTAGCTCCAGTTCCAGGGGACCCCGATACCCATGGCAAAACAGCAATACATATAGAAAATAAAAATATAAATTTAAAAAATGTAAAAACTGAATATATAGGACTGGAACAATAACTGAGCAGTTAGAAGCTCTTGCTGCTTAAGGTTTGGTTCCTAACACTCATATTAGATCACTCACAACTACTTGTAACTCTAGTTCCAGGAGTCTGTCCTTGATGGGCACCTGCATACACTCACAAAGACACATACACACAGTTTAACACACATACCTTTTTTAAAAAAAACCTGAAAGCTGGGCATGCCTTTAATCTCAGCACTCAAGAGGCAGAGGCAGGCCTAGTCTACAAGAGCTAGTTCCAGAACAGGCTCCAAAGCTACAGAAAAACCCTATCTCGAAAAACCAAACAACAATAACAAAAAACTGAAAATATTATATTTCATTTAAATTGTAGTTGCTTTTTTAGGTCTGAGGAAGTAATTTTAGAATACTTACCTAGGTGTGTAAGATCCTAAGATCATTCTTCAGTGCCAGGGGAGGTGGGTGTGTACAGTTATTAGATGAGTACATTTGACAAGTGTGTAAGAATAGTGATAGTGCTGGCAAGATGGCTCAACACTTAGGAGCACTTAATGGACTTACAGAAGACCTGGGTTCAGTTCCCAGCACCACATGGCAGCTCACAACTGTCTCTCTCTTTTTTTTTTTTTTTTTTTTTTTTTTTTTTTGGATTTTTCGAGACAGGGTTTCTCCGTAGCTTTTTGATTCCTGTCCTGGAACTAGCTCTTGTAGACCAGGCTGGCCTCGAACTCACAGAGATCCGTCTGCCTCTGCCTCCCGAGTGCTGGGATTAAAGGCGTGCGCCACCACCACCCGGCTCCCAACTGTCTCTTAACTCCAATTCCTGTGGAGCCAGCACCCTCTCCTGGCCTTCAAGGCAGCACACATAAAATAAAAATAAGTCTTAAAATGAGTAAATAATAAATGTTTGTATGAGGTGAATTCTGGAGCACCTGTGATTACTTCAGCAAATATGCGTTGAGTTCCTCCTGGTAATATGGAAAACAGGCACCGAAAAGCACAGCTTCAGAGGTGTGTGCTGTGAGGGAGACTGCTCGGCCACGCTCCAGGGACACATGGAGGAGAGAAATGCTCCCTCAAGCTCAACACGTGGCACCTAGTGAGAGACCAGGGCAGGATGAGTCTAGAGAGAAGGGAAAAGGCGTGATTTCTCAGGACTGAGGACAACCGAGTGTGGTTTTATTTTTGTTTGGGGACAGGTGTAATCCTCGCTCTCCTGGAACTCATTTTGTAGACCAGGCTAGCCTCAACTTCAGAGATCCGCCTGCCTCTCCCTCCTGAGTGCTGGGATTAAAGTAGTGCACCACCACACCCGACCCAAGTGACTTTTTTAAATTGTTTTGTTGTTGTTGTTGTTCGTTTGTTTTTTGATGAGTTGGGGTGGAAGGAAGACTCATTCCTTTCCACATCCACCAAGGAGAATTCCTGAATTATCATTCTCTATTTCTCCTCTTCTGTTTGGTTAGAAGGATATGTTTTTCTCAAAGAGTTTCTGAATTACTTTCAAGGATTTAGTAAGAGACATTCGAGTTGTGTTTATAAAATATACCTAGGAAGAACAGTCAGAAACAGGTTTATTTAATTAAGACTTAAATTTAACTTGTAAAAAATGTATTTTCTTTTATGATATTGAAAACCTTCAAGAGTTAGGTAGTGATGGTGGCAGAGCTTTGTGAATATTCTTAAAACCATGAGAAGGGGCGAGTGGCGCCTCAGCTTTTTAAAGCCGCTGTACCTCCCAGTGGCAGAGGTTTGCTGCTGGTGGCTGGGTGTGCATAAACTCCTCTTAAGTCTTAGGCTCTGCTGAGCTTGGAGATTCTGTCCCCTTCCCATGGGGAGCTTTGCTGTGCGGAATGGACCTGCGTCCTTCAGAGCTTCCGCAGCAGTTGAGGGTGTGTGTGTTTATTTCCAAAGAGAAGGGGGCACAGCTCTGCAGCGCTGCACTGTTGGCCTTGATAGAAAACACCGTCCACAGGCTTTCCTGTAGTTCAGACTGTCTTTCCTCCTAGTTCATTTTGCTGTTTATCCTGGCTTCTGCTGTTTACGTATGAGGCTTCCTGAAATGACAGGCATTTTTTATCCATTCATATTTAAGAATGAAGTATTACAAAGCTGTTTAGATATAGTTTGCTTAGTGGTGAACCTCTCTGTAGAGAGACTGGGCAGGGATTAGTTATATTTGTTTGGAATACTCTTAAGATCTTTCCTTAGTGCCTGTCAGGGTTTTTTGTTGTATTTTTTTTTACATTTATTACATTGTGCATGTGTGCCACATGCATGTATGGTCAGAGATCAACTTCAAGAAGTTGGTTCTCTACTTCCACCATGTGGGACCTAGAGGACTGAAATTGTGTACTCAGGTTTGATGGCAAACACCTTTACTCATTAAAACCTGTGTGTTTCTTAGAAAAGTTAAAAAATGAAAAATAAAAGGGATGAAAATGAAAACACAGCATACCCAAATCTATGGCAAAAGCCAGTTCTAAGTGCCTACATTAAGGAATTGGGGAAGGAGAACACGTGGTGGCAAATATCTTTAATCCCAGCTCTCCAGAGGTAGAGGCAGCTGGATCTCTTGAGTTCCTGAGTTCAAGACCAGCCTGGTTTGCAAAGTGAGCTCCAGGTCAACCACAGCTACAACACGAGACCCTGTCTCAAAAACAAACAAAACTGAGTAGGGGTCTAAGACTGTAGCTCTGTTGAAGAGTGCTTGCCTATCGTGTACAGACTCCTGGCTTTGATCCTCAACACTACACAACTGGACTTGGTGTCTTAGCCAGTGTTCTTTTGCTGTGAGGAGACACCATAACCATGGCAACTCTTGTAAAAGAAAGCATTTAATTGGGGCTTGCTTATAGTTTCATTGGTTTGGTTTATTCTCATCATGGTGGGGAACATAGTGGCACAGAGGCAGCTAGAGAAATAGCTGATAGTTCTACATCTAGACTCACATGCAGCAGGGAGAGACACCAAGATTGGCTTGGGCTTTTGAAAAGCCAAAGCCAACCCCCAGTGACACTTCCTCCAACAAGACCACACCCCAACCCATCTAAAGTGGTGCCACTCCCTGATAACCAAGCATTCAGATCCAGGAGCCTCTGGGGGCCATTTTTACTCAAGCCACCCTAGCATGGTACTGCCTATAATCTTTGTTATTGTTTTTATTTTTTGGTTTTTGTTTTTTCGAGACAGGGTTTTTCCATGTAATGTAGCCTTGGGTGTCTGGAATTCACTTTGTAGGCCATGCTATCCTCAGACTCAACAGAGATCTGGCTGCCTCTGCCTCCCAAGTGCTGAGATTAAAGGTGTGCACCACCACTGCCCTACCTGCCCATAATCTTGGCGCTCAAAAGATAGAAGCAGGAAGGAGAGAAGTAGTTCCCAAAAGGGTCCTTCTCACCTTCATATGTGTTCTGTGGAACACACACGCTTACATAAACCCACATAAAATACATACTTTAAAAATCTTGAATTTTGCTTACTTGTTTTGAGAGAGGGTCTTTCTATGTAGCAACAGCTGGCCTGGAGCTCAGTGCTGTGGACCAGACTGGACTTGAAGTCACAGAGCTCTTCCTGTCTCCGTCTCCCAAGCACTGGGATTAAAGACTTGTGCAACGTGGCTGTGGCACCTTTGAGTCCTACCTCAAAATACAAAAAAAGAAAAAAACAATCAAATAGCTTAAAGATACACTTCATAGAGTTGGGAAAACAAGAACAAACCAAACCCCAAATCAGTAGATGAAAAGAAATAATTAAAGTCAGGGCCAAAATTAATGAAATGGAAATGGGGGAAAATCAATGAAATAGAGTTGATTTTTTTCAAAAAAAATGATAAAGATGAACAAGTTCTTTGCCAATGAAAGAAAAGACTCACCAGTAATTAGAGGAAAGGGGGGAGCCATGATGACATAACAATGAAATTTAGAGAATTCTTAGACATGCCTTAAAGCATATGCTGCACCAAACTGGGAAAATCTTTCAAAAAAAAAAAAAATTTCCAGGAAGGTGTGGCAGAGGGGAGCAGGCATCTTCACGGCACTTTATGTCTGATCTCTCCCCTCACATGCATCCCCTCCCTTCCCCATCTGGTCCACAGTAAAGAGTGCTGTTGGGTGGCTGAGCTGGAACCGCAAACCAACCTGGAAACCTGCTGTTCAGGCTCCTTACAGTCTGTGCTCAGCCCTTGCTTGGGCCGCTATGACATAAACAGCCTTACTTCCCCCTGATGAGACATTTTCTGGTGGCTGTCATTCTTGTTCTTTAATGAGGGTCATTACTTTTGTTCTAGTAGGTTGTAAGACGGGGGGGGGGGGGGGGGGGGGGGCGGACACACAAAAGCAACCATGTGTATTCAGTCCTCCATGACAAACAAGTTGTACTCTAGTTACTTTTTATGCCCCTAAGTTAGCATCTGGGTTTCCCCAAGAGAGCCTGTACATGTTAAAAATTGGAGGTTCAGTTGGAGTATAGTGTTACTTGCTGAACTATTACTGTATTTCCTTTTTAAATTTTTTTTCATTACGTTTAACTATTTATGAATATGCACATGGTAGGGACAGACATTGACTACCGTGGCACACCTGTGGAAATCAGAGAATTGTGAGAATTGGTTTTATCCTGCACCATATGGGTCAACGTTATCAGTTTATCAGACGACAACAAGCACTTTTACCAGCTGAGACATCTTACCAACCCATTCCTTAATATAGCAGTATGTTTTAATTACACAGTATGGCTGGTATCACATAGAAATAGTCCTGAATTATCCAGAAATATTAGTGAAGTGACTGCTGCCACATCATTAATAGGAAATATTTTATTGATGTCTTTCCTATGGCATATGTCTCCTGTTTGCTAACAGTCTGACTAAGCCATCTGTCTCTTTAATTTCAACAGCAGTTATCAAAAAAGATTTGATACATAACACGGAGGAAATGCAGGAAAGTGGCTGAGGCTCGGGCGAAGAACATTCTGTTCCAGTGAGGCGTTTCTCCTGTACTGCTGCCAAATGCCTCCCGCAGGCTAGCCTGGAGTGTCCTCCTCCTGAGATTGGAAGCTGTTTATCCCTCTCTGTGTTGGTAGATAGAGCTAGTGTTTTGTTTGTCTTGTTGTGGTTTAGGCTTAGTTTTTGCAGTCATTTAGCTTAATGTGGTTTTGAAAGTGAGGTTCACCCTGAGGGAGATACTGAAATGGCTTAATTAGAGAAGTTTAAAACAGTTTGTTAAAAATTAGCCAATCTAAGCCAGCACTTGCCTTTAATCCCATAGTTGTGAGGTAAACACAGCAGATATAGTTCGAGACCAACATAGTGAATTCTTTTTCTCAAAGAACAAAGTTTGCTGACCAAATTAGAATTTGGTGGGAGCTCTATAGGGGCATTGCATCTGCAATTAATCTCTTTCCAGTGGTAGCCACATGCCCTGACCATGTTTCTAGGCACAAAGGCTGAAGGAAGGGAGGGGCCTCTGAGAGACAGGAAGTCAATGTTCTAAGGAGGAAAACGCTGCAGTGTGCAGCATGCTGGCCTGTGTGTCCCTTTTGCATCTGGCTGAACTGGAGAGGCTTGCTGTCAGCTGGAGAAAGCTGTCTTACTGTCACATCTTACATGTGGACAGACATCTTACATGTAGACTTAACATCCGTGCTTCACTGTGGTACCTTAAGCTGACACTTAGTTGTATTTTACTGTTTAAACACATCCGCCAAACCTGTGGGTGATCATTGACTAGGTGTGTGCTCTCCTCTCTGGAACCTTGGGTTTAAATACAATACTGGCTTGTAATGGGAGCTGGCAACAAGTGATGAGTGTGAATTCAGATCAGACTGAAAACTTAGAAAACTTCACCTTGAGGTAGTTAGGATGCTCTTATCTGACCCAATGTTACTAAAAGAAGTAGTAGAAGGTTATCAACAAAATGTCATTGAGTCCTCTAAGCGAAACTAGAACAGTAGACTGTTGAAGAGAGTGGCCTCTGGTCCAGACTGCCTGGGTAACCATTCTGGCTTCATTGCTTATTAGCTGATTTGGGGCAGATTATATAATTATAATATACGTTATAGAAACTGGAAATAATAAGCCTTAAGGAATTAGTATGTCAGCTACTTAATGTATGGAAAGTATTTCCTATTATTATATTAATATATGGCAGTGGTTCCTTTTTTAATGTTTTTCTAATTTGAGAATGTCATACATACAATTTTTTCGATAACCCACTGAGTCCAGTTTGTGCTTCCCATATACTCATGGTTATGAGGACCTCCACTGGAGCAAGGAGGATGGACCAGGGGCTACACATAAAGAAAACTGAGCCTCCTGAAACCTTCAGATGTCATTAGTCCCTTGGCTACAGGAAGAGTTCATGAGCCCCCGTCCTATTCTAAGCAGAAATGGTGACCGGCTTGATCTTGCTCAGGTCTTGTGCAGACAGCTATGCTGCCAAGTTCATGAGTGTACTGGTCCTGCTGTATCTAGAAGACATGGCTTCACCCTGGTTCTCAGCTTCTAGCCCTTACAATCTTTCTGTCCCCTCTTCCTCAAGGGTTCCTGAACATTGAGGCAAGGAAATGGGATATATGGGAAATGTGGCTGAGCATTCCACAGAAACCTGATCTCTGTGCTTTAACCTGTTGTGAGTTTCTGTGCTAAGCACTGTGTCAGTCAGTGGTCGCTTTTACTTTACAGTAACTAGATTGTCTCACTTTTTCCCCCAGTGATATTGTGGTCCAGATAGTAGATGCTCGAAACCCACTCCTGTTTAGATGTGAGGATTTGGTAAGTAAAGTTTGATTTAGATCCTTGGGACAGTAAAGAGAGGAAAGATTTCCTCACAACAGTAACTGAGCAAGCATTCTGTCTTCTCTGGCTTCCCTCTCTGTGCAAGGTCAGAGGTTTGCTCCAGCACTTGTTTCATCTGTAGGAAGCACAGAAATTTGCCTGCTGTGTTCTAGCTGCTGGGCTGGAAGGTACTTTATTGCTAGTCATTTGCTGGTTGCTTGTTTTCAGGAGACAGCAGTCAGGATGGCATATTGCTGTTTTTAAAGATATTCCAGTCACTTTTTAATGCATCACACTAAATACTTTGCTTTCACATATCGTTACACCTATGCTATCTTACAAATGAGCTAAGCTTATACAGAGTAGTACTAAGGCATAAGGATCACTTAAAATGATGTAATGCGTGAACCCATGAAACTCCTTACATATGTGATGTGCATATTTTCATTAGAACAACTGTAATGATTCCTCTAAACTTATGAGTAACAGAAATTGTAATGATTCTTTTAAAGTTCTTTTCAGAGCTCACAGAAAGGATCAATTAGTAGAATGTATCAAAATTTCCAATATTTAAATTAGAAAGTGATTTAAGGACCTCCTTTGATGTGGCTCAGCAGGTGTGAAGGCACTTGCTACATAAGCCTGGTGACCTAAGTTTGACCCCTTTTGAAACCATGTAAAGTGGGACCAATAGAACTGACTCCTAGTTCTCCTCTGACCTCCACATATATGCTGTGTCATATGTTTGCATGTACACACATTGTGCACACACGATAATAAAAATGTTAAGGAAAGTGGTTTAAGCCAGGTGTTGGTAGCAGTGGTGCACACCTTCAATCCCAGCACTAGGGTGCAAGAGGCAGGTGGATCTCTGTGAGTTCAAGGCCAGCCTGCCTCCAGAGCAAGTTCTAGGGCAGCTGGGGCTACACAGAGAAACCCTGTCTTGAAAACCCAAAATAGAGAGAGAGTAATTTAAAGTAGGGGAGGTCATAAAAACTTGAATTGGGAATCTCCAGTGTAATTAACCCAGTGTTTGTCTCACTTGTTTGAACAGACTGAAATTGCCTTTGTCTTTACAGGAATGTTACGTGAAGGAGATAGATACCGCTAAGGAGAATGTTATCCTGATAAACAAGGCAGACTTGTTGACCGCTGAACAGCGCCTTGCCTGGGCCTCACACTTTGAAAAAGAAGGTGTGAAGGTTATTTTCTGGTCAGCTTTGGGAGAAACCCTTCACTCTAAGGTAACAAGGACTGGGGGCCTTTCTTAAGGTGGATTTAAGGAATTACTTTGATTTGATTGATGTGCTTTGTTTATATTGGTAGTTTGTAAGAGTTACTTTTGTATGGGGAGTTCCCTCCCCTAGTGCTGTGTTCGTAGGATAGACTATGGAAAATACTTAGAATCTTTAATCAAATCATACCGATATTTTGTGATTTTGGATAATTGGAGATGCCCAGTGTCACTTGTGGAACCGTAAAGAAGTTTCATAGTGGTTTTGTATTTGCTTATTTTAAGAGAAACTTCTCAGTGTACACTGTACAGCTAAAGGATGTGGTAGCTTGTCGTGGTTTATCAGGGTCTGGTTTGTTTTTAAGACAAACTCAACTTGAATTAAGATAAATTATGCTATTTCTTTTACCTTTAATCCAGATTTTACTAAAACAACAAAGATCATGGGATCTTTGATATTTTGAAGACATTTAGAAGTAATATTCCCCTTCTTTTTTCTCTATTTAGAAGTAATATTCCCCTTCTTTTTTCTCTATTTAGAAGTAATATTCCCCTTCTTTTTTCTCTATCAGTCATCTTTTGACTTTGATGGTTATGTAGGTGCTATGCAGGCTGGGTGTTGTGGAGGACACCTTCAATCCCAGCATAGTCGGAAGTATCTCTCTGAGTTTGGAACTATCCTGATGTACGTAGAGTCCCGTGACAGCCAGGGACTACACAAGAAGACCCTGTCTCCCCCCCCCCCCCGCCCAGCCAAAAAGTAGATTCTATGAATATAACACTTTTTCCTAAATGAGCTCATAATTTACTGAGCTCTTAGCTCCAATTGAAAGAAGAAATTCCTTCCTCCACTTCCTGTCAGATAGTCATGTTATCTCCCACTGACTGTTTTGGGCTAAGGCTGTAACTCAGTAGAAGTGTCTGCCAAGCATGCAGAAAGAAGGCTCTAGTCCCTAACACTAGCAATGACAACTGCCTTAAGACCAGGCAACATATTCCTTTCTCATCTGTGACTTCGGAAAGTTCTTCCTTTCTGAAGCTAAGTTACTCCCTATTCTTTGATCTGAAAATTTATTCTCTGTCTGCTTGGTTCGTTCCTATACATTTTTTCCCTTCCGATAATCTCATACATAGTATTTTTTGGACTTTCATCTTGGGACTACCACTAAAATTGATGGTACCTAATTGAACATATTTATTCCATGTGTTTTCTGCTAGGACATATGTGGATAGATTCTAGAGCTGGGAAGAAAGCTCAGTGAGTAAAGTGCTTGCCTTTAAGGGTGCATGTCTTTAATCCCAGCCCTTGGGGGCAGAGGCAGGCAAACCCCAGTGGGTTCAAGGCCAGCCTAGTCTACATAGTAAGACCCTGTATCTATTAGTCTATTAGTAGTAGCAGTAGTAGTAGCAATAACAATAATAGCCAGTCTGAAATGAAATTTTGCTATTCCAGAGTTTCATACACAAGCTTCTGCTCCGTAGTACTTTTTGACTTGCAAAGCAATTATAAAAGCAAAGCAAGGTTGGAGTATAGCTTGGTGGTATAGTCTTGCTTCATATGCAAAAACTCAGTCATAGCACAGCAGAAACAGCGCAACCAGAGCCAAGGTCTGCCTCTCTTGCCCTCCCAAGGGCACTCTGCTGATAGCCCATCCGCCTGTGCGCTCGTGTGGACAGATTGCTGTGCTGCGCCCCTGTGATCCACATGCCTGTCTCCAGCACATTTCCTGTTCTCCTTCTGTAACTAGTCCCCTGAGTGACAAGTACACTTACACAGGTCTGAAGGTTTGTGATTCTTATTTTATCAGGACCAAGAAAATAGTGTTGCTGAAGAAGCCAGCAGAATTGAGTCTGAAAATTCCAGTTCGGATGAGAATGAACTTCCACGCAGAAATTGGCTCTCACTTGGTGAGGAGTCCGCAAGTGACGAGGATAGCAGTGAGTATGAGGACTGTCAGGAGGAGGAGGAGGACTGGCAGACGTGCTCAGAAGACAGCAGCCCTGAGGAGGAGGAGGACGAGGAGGGCTGTGCTCAGGACTGGAAAGAACACTGTCCTGTCGATTCTGAGACTCAGAACAGGGAAAAACCAGAAAACCAGCAAATGAACAATTGTAGCCAGCTGGTGTCAAAGCAGGACCTACTGGAGCTCTTTAAGAAGCTGCATACGGGGAAGAAGGTGAAGGATGGACAGCTAACTGTTGGGCTGGTAAGATGGAGTAGATCATGAAGCTAGCACCACATGAGCGTCTTCTTTCCCTGCCCTTCATAGCTACACATACCCCAGAGAGTCAGGCTTCTGGCGTCATAGGGAGCGTGCTGCCTACTTGTTGCCCCTGGCATCATGGGATGAGGACCAGGATCCAACTCAAAGGAAACATTTCTGGGTTTATAGTGTTTACATACATGTTTATATTAAATGTATTCTATGATCTTCTTCCAGCTCAGTTCTTTGTCACTGAGAGACAAGAGTAAGTTTTTGATGTTGTTGCCAGACTTTAGTGCTGTGCTCTGTTGACATCCTGTGATCCTTGCCAGATTATACTGTTCCATATGCCATTAGGAAGAATTCAGTCCTGGGAAGGCAAACCATGACAGATATTTTCATTGCATAAACATAACAGAAATGGTAAAAAGTAGATCAGATCCCAACTATATTACCTAATTCTGAAGGTGACTGTGGAACTGCCCACACCCCAAGGATACTGCATGGCTCTAGGGTACACAGCACGGCTCTAGATGACCCATCCTTGGCTAAGGACACATAAACTGTTAGAGAAGACATTTATACTAAAGATCTTTCCAGGGAAACAAAACCGTGGAAGGTCGCAGCAGGTATGTAGTCTCTCAGCTCTTCAGCTAAAATTAGGTGTAACTAATCCTCATTGTATTTAGACTCTTTCCTGAGTCCCATCACCTAAAATAAAACAGGAGGCCTACTTACAATGTAGGGTCTACAGAGATGACTCAGCAACCGAGAGCACTGGCTCCTTTTACACAGGACCTGGATTTGGTTCCCAGCACCCACATGACAGATCACAGCTGTCTCTAATCCCAGTTCCAAGGAATCTCAACCCTCTTCTGGCCTCTGGGTATTGCCTGCATGTGGTACACACATATAAATGAAGGTAAAACGCTCTTACACATAAATAAAAGTTAAAATCTTAATTAAAAAGAAAGATGAAGTAAATGGTGTTTTTGTGTATTGTTCTTGCTACAGACCTGCCTTTGGAGTTAGGCAGGCATGGTGTAATTCCCAATTTCACAGTAGAACTAACCTGAACACAGAAAATTTCTTAATTTCTCTGAGTTTTAAGGCTATATTCTCTGTGCCAAAAATTTGTTCCCATGTGTATCAGAAAACCAGGTTTCTCTACATGTGTCTTCGATTTCTAGCTTTCTGAATTCTTAATTCAGGGCATCATCCGGACGAAACTTAGCTCCCTAGTCTACAACACCTCTGCATAGCCTGCCACCTTCTGTTGGCCCGGACTAAAAAGCCTGGGAGTTTTCAGATGTTCACAGCTTGTAATTATTGTTTCCTGACGCTCAGCTCACCCCTTGTTAAAGATGCAGTGGGAACAGTGAAGTTTGCCTACAAATGGAACGTTAGGGGCAGGCAGAGGGCATGAGGATATTGTGGGCAACAGCAAAGTCTGCAGAAAAATAATCCATACGCCTGTGCCATGTGTCAGAGCTGAGTCTGAGTTTGTAAAGCCAAGAGAATGAAAGGTGAACATTACTACCCCTCAGATAACTTCTGGTTGTCTTCCAGGTGGGCTATCCTAATGTTGGGAAGAGCTCAACCATCAACACTATCATGGGCAACAAGAAAGTGTCTGTGTCTGCCACGCCTGGCCACACCAAGCATTTCCAGGTACAGGAAGTTCTTCGCCACAGTGCTGTTTCTCTTCCCTTCCACTCGCCATATGTCCATCATAGCTGTTTGTGTCTTTCAGACTCTGTATGTGGAGCCTGGCCTCTGCCTGTGTGACTGCCCGGGCCTGGTGATGCCGTCCTTTGTGTCTACCAAAGCAGAGATGATTTGCAATGGGATTCTCCCAATTGACCAGATGAGAGATCACGTTCCACCCGTATCACTAATATCCTTTCTGTTTCAGGACCACTCTGGTTTTTAATGTGTAAGGCTTTGAGAATTTTTAGGGCATTACCTTCTAACAGTATAATTGTAGGCATTGGAAGCAAAGACATGGTCCTTTGTATCTCCATTAGAATAGTCTCTCAAAGTTAGGGTTTGTTTATAATATTGTTCCTTAAATTAATATTGTTAAGGTCTGTTTCTTAGATAATTTTTTTAGATTTATTTATTTTTATATGTGTATTTGTGTGTCTATATGTCTGTGTACCTCTTGCATGCCTCGTACCCTTGAAAATCAGAAGAGAACATTGGATCCCCTGGAACTAAAGTTACAGACAATCGTGAGCTGCTTTGTAGGTGCCAAGAAGCGAGCCCTGGTCCTCTGCAAGAGTAGCGAGTGTTTTTGACCACTTAACCATCTTTGTAGAGATGTTTTGTTTGTTTGTTTTTAATTGTTTTTACAGACAGGGTTTCTCTGTGTAGTCCTGACTGCTCTGGAAGTCACTTTGTAGGCCAGAAATCTCATAGAAATCTGCCTGTCTCTGCCTCTCGAATGCTGGGATTAAAGGTGTGCGCCCCCCACTATCCAGCCTTGTTATTTTAAAGAATGCATTTAAAGTGATCATTGACGTGTAAAGCTGTTTAAATGAATAAATAACTATACTCTGCTTAGAGGGAGAACATGTGTCAGAAGCAGCAAAATAGTGTGTTTGGATGATGTGGGAGCACAGTCAATTCAAGAGTGGATTCCTTGACAAGTTTACGTTTGCCAGAATATCCCACGACGTGTTTTGGAAGCTACCTATGGTATTAACATTATAAAACCTAGAGAAGATGAAGATCCCTGCCGACCTCCAACCTCAGAAGAGCTGCTAACAGCTTATGGATGTGAGTTGGCTGTCATTTTAAATAATGGGCAAATGGTTCATAGAAGTCTGGAAAGGGTCACTAGGCATCCAACCCAGGGCTAGCATGAACCACACCTCCACAACCACCCCCGTTTCATTCTAATGACATAAGTACTGAATTTCATCTGATGCTTACCTATCGTCGGTATTTCCTGTTTGCAGGAACAAACGACCACACGTGTACAGTTGCTCTACTGCTGTCCAAAGCTCTGTAGACTAAAGCCTCTGGCCATGAATTTTAAAGGCACTTCCAAGGTCCTCCAATTTTATTTTGTGTTTCTTTTTAAGCTGTATTGTTTTAACTTATGTATATGCATGAGGTTATATGTACATGAGTGCTGGTGCCCCTGATAGTCAGAGGCATTGGAGCCTCCTTGGAGCTGAAGCTACTGTGATTGTGAACCGCTCAGAATGGGTGCTGGGAATTGAACTTGGATCCCTTGAGTCCTCTGTAGGAGCTGCACACGCTCTTTGCTACCCAACCCTTTCTCCAGTGCCTACTTTGTATTTCTTTGATTTTTGTCTTTGTCTGAGGCAGCTTCGCTGTAACCCTGGCCAGCCTAGATCTCACAGATTGCCTGCCTTTGCCCACTGAGTGCTGGAATTTTTGGTGTGTGCCACAAACTCAGCTACTTTATCTCTCTCTTTCTTAAGTTTTTTTTTAAGATTTTATTTTCTGTTTTGCCTACAAACATGTCTGTGAATCATGTGTGTGCCTAGTGCCTGAGGAGGCAGTGAATGCCCTGGAACTAGAGTTACAGGCAGGTGTGAGGCACCGTGTGGGTGCTGGGAATGGGAGCAGGTCCTCTGAAGAGCGGCCTGTGCTCTTAACTGCCAAGCCATCTCTCCAACCCTGCTTTGTATTTCTTTAAATGTTGGTGAAGTTGAAATATTTTCTCTTAACTTTTTATCGATTCTTTATAGATTTCACATCATGCATTCTGATTCTATCCAAAAAGCAAAAACTAAAGTCTTAGTGTAGAAGATACAGTGAGTCACACAGTATACCTGTATAGTCCATACATCTTCACTCACAAGTGTTCGTTGCAGTGAGTCATTGGTCTGGTTTGAGACCTGCTTCTGCTACACCCTCGATACTGGGCCCTCACTGGGACTCCTCTTAGATATCCTGTTGTAGCCTTGTGTTGTGGAGATCCTGCAGCTTTGGTCTGGAGGTCCGGCCCTTTACATGCTCCAGCAGTTCATAGATGGGGTGGATGTTGGGGTATAATTTTTTTCCCCAAGTTTGTTGACCTTTTATATTGCTTCTAGAAATCATGGGGGTTTGGTTTGTTTGTTTCTATGCATTGTTTCTGTCTTAATTTATAAAGCTTTTTGTTGTTCTGTATGTAACTAGATCTTTTCTTCTAAATTTAAAAGCTAGTTTGCACATGGGCTGAGTTTTGAACCCAGCCCTTTCTACAAAAACAGCTGTGCTCTCTCCTTGCTACTCACAGTGAGAGAGAATAAGAGCGATCCTCTTGGTATGTTTGGGAAGCTGACAATCAGATGTAGCTATTAAATTAGGGAGTTTGCTATGTTGTCTTTTGTTCTGCAGATAATATTCTCCTGCAGGTCACCTCCATGAGTAAATGCCTGAAATCGGGGTTAGAAGGAATAACTAATGATGAGAAACCAAACGTGCCTGTCACAGTGCTAAGTGGTTAGATATTATAAGCTGCAGAGTCTGCTCTGCCTTAGCAAATGTTGATGATGATGATGATGAAGTGTGTTTCACGGTGAGAGGAAATTAGTTTCTCATAGGGCTGTGGGAAGAGACCCAGTGCACATCAGCAAGGTCACGCCTGTTGTGTCAACTCCTAACTGAGCTCTCACACAGTTGGTTTCTCTCACAGGCATGCGAGGATTCATGACAGCACATGGACAACCAGACCAGCCTCGATCTGCACGTTACATCCTAAAGGACTACGTCAGAGTAAGTGAACTTGTTCTATTGCCCTGAGTAAGCAAGCTTTCTTTTCCCTACCCTGAGTTCTTAGCTCATGACAGCCTGGTAAGGAGATGGACTGATGCCCAGTGGGCTGTTTCTAGTGGTGCTAGCGCTTGACCTGTGGGCCTCACACATGCTGGACAGGTGCTCCAGCACTCAGCCCTAGCCCTCCAAAGTGACCTTGATTTCAGACTCTCACCTGATGTTCCCAGGACTAGTGTGTCCTCACATAGAAGAACATTGAAGACTACTTAGTAGAAATGACGAGCAGGTGAATAAGGTCACAGAGAAGGAAGAGTAGCGACTCCAGGGCCCTGGGAGGAGCTGGGTGTCAGAGTCAGGGCCCTGCAGTTGCAGCAACAGAAAGCTGCTCCACCCTCTGCCCGGTTGACACTTGCCGTGAAGACCTAACCCTCTCGGGGTAAGGCGGTTACAGCATGCTGTTTCGCTGCAGGGAAAGCTGCTGTACTGCCACCCTCCTCCTGGGAGAGACCCTGTGACCTTTCAGCATCAGCACCAGCAGCTCCTGGAGAACAAAACAAAGGGTGAAGAAGTACGGCAGCAGCTGGGCAGAAACCAGAAAGCCAAACAGATTGAAAATGTAGTCGACAAAACCTTTTTCCATCAGGTAAGAAAAAGAGGCTGTATTTAACTCTTATCCAATGCATTTAAAAATTCAAAATATTAGCCGGGCGGTGGTGGTGCATGCCTTTAATCCCAGCACTCGGGAGGCAGAGGCAGGCGAATCTCTGTGAGTTCGAGTCCAGCCTGGTCTAGAAGAGCTAGTTCCAGGACAGGAACCAAAAGCTACGGAGAAACACTGTCTCGAAAATCAAAAAAAAAAAAATATATTCAAAATATTTATTATTTTTAGCATCTAGTGAACTGGAAAGGCAGCTCAGTGATTAAAAGCACTCGCTCTTCCAGAGAACCTGAGTTTGATTCCCAGCACCCACATCATGAGGCTCACCTGTAACTCCAGGTCTGGGGATTTAATACCCTCTCCTAGCCTTCATAACACACGTTTCTTTATATGTGTATGAATGTTTTCCCTGCATTGTGTGTGTCTGTGGAAATCAGATGAGGGTATCAGATCCCCTGTAGTGGAGTTACTGATGGTTGTGAGCCACCGTGTGGGTGCTGATATTGAACCTGGGTCCTCTGCAATAGGTACCCCACTGAGATCTCTCTCTGACCCCACTTTTTTACTTTTGGGTCTTGCTTTGTGAGTCTAGCTGACCTTAGCTTCTCTAGTGCTGAGATTACAGATGTGCATCGTCACATCTGGCTCCACACACAGTTTATATTATGCTCACGTTTGCGCAGCCGTTACCACCAGTTTAGAATTTTATCACTCCAGAAAGAAACCCCATGCCGTTGACATCCACTCACTTTCTGTTTCCCGTGTCAGCCACTAATCCGCTCTTTCTCTGTATGTGGGGTTGTCTGCTCTGGACATATCACATGAGTGAAGTCATGCTGTGATCTTCTGTTCCTTAGCTTAGCTGTTTCTTGGTCTGTCTGTGATAGAGCATGTGTCCATACGTCATTCCTTTTACTACAAATAAGTTGCTGTAAAGACATGCCATTCACCAGTTGGTAGACATTTGGGTTGTTTTCACATTTTGGCTAATATAACTAGGCTAGGTATGCATGTGTATATTTGTGTGTGTGTGTTTTCACATCTCGGGAGTGAGCACTGCAGAACTGGAGTGCTTCGATCATTTGTAAAGCTGTGCTTTTGGCTCGTGGGGTGCAACCATACCGTCTAGACATGGCTGTGGGTTTCATGCTCCACATCTGTGCTGTGCTTGCCGTCTGTTGGTGCTGTTTCAGCTATCTCAAGTCGTCTCTGGCTCAGCTTTTATTTCCCTGGCGCTTTGTGATGAACAGCAGCATTTCACAGACTCGGGTGCCTGTGCATTTCCTGTACAGAAACAAGTTGTAAGAGGTTTTTGTTGGTGGTGGTGGTGGTGTGTATGTGTGTGTGTTTAGGGGGATGAAACAAGATCTTATGTGACCGTCCTGGTCTTGAACTCTGGATCCTTCCACCTCCACATCCCATGTGTGCCTCCACATGCCGAAGACTTCTGTATACACCCCAAACAAGGTGTGGTGCACAGCGGTGATCCCAGGACGCGCGGTCTGCTGCCACATCTACACATAAGCGTCTTCTCTTCCACAGATAGGCATGCACATGCACACATAAAAAATAAGCGAGTGAATATTAGTAACTTGAATCACTTCATCATAACTGATAGATTTTTCTTTTTCTTTGCTTGGTTGGTTGGTTGGTTTTGTTTTTTTGTTTTTTTTTATTTTTTTTCAAGACGGGGTTTTTCTGTATAACAACCTGGTTGTCTTGGAACTCACTCTGTAGACCAGGCTGGCCTCGAACTCACAGAGATCCACCTACCTCTTCCAAGTGTTGGGTTTAAAAGTGTGCCCCACCACACCCAGCAGCTGGTAGCATTTTTTTCAATGTCAGGTTTATGTACAAGAGTTAAGTCGTTTGGTTGTGTTTAATACACATTTTCAATCTTCTTAAATGGGGCCTGGAGAGATGGCTCAGTGGCTAAGAACCTATGTTGCTCTCGCAGGGAACCTGGGTTTGGTTCCCAGTGTCCACAAGTGTCCTACAGGACATTCAGTTTGCAGAGATTTCTGAAGGCATTGCATGAGAAAGCAAATCTATTTTCACCTTAAATTATTGTCTATATCTAAACCTTCACCCCTAAGAGTAATATTTTACTGTGTGTGTCAGTCCTGGGATATTACTTTATAATTTTTATTCATATTATAAATAAACTGAATATTTCTTGAGCGTCAGTGTCTAGTGTGAGCTGAAGGACTTGACATCCATGGAGCTTCAAGCTCTATGTTGGGGTACACCTAAAATCCCAGCGCTCCAAAGGCAGAGAACTGGGAATTCAAGATTTGCTTGGACTACACAGTAAGACCCTGACTCAAAAAAGAAAAAAAAAAAGTAGAAATTCCCAGGAAATAGTTTGAATTATGAGGGGTTTGGATGGTTTTAGATGATTGGAAGCTACTGGACTAAACACTCAGCAAGGAAGGCTGGGAAAGAGGTGAGCTAAGAGGGAGTGCTGGGAGGCCTAGCGTGAGGGCAGGGAGTGAGGTGGAAGCCAGAGGAGAGCCGTGCGCTGAGTGACTTGCTCCTGGTCCTGAGAAGTCTGCTCATGTCTCCCGTGTTTCCTCACAGGAGAATGTCAGAGCACTGACCAGAGGGGTCCAGGCTGTGATGGGCTACAAACCTGGGAGTGGCCCTCTGACCGCAGCTGCTGTGAGTGCTGAGAACGTGACTGGGAAGCCCTGGAAAAAACATGGCAACAGAAATAAAAAAGAGAAAAGTCGTAGGCTCTACAAGCACCTGGATATGTGAACTGGCTCTACAGAAATGGCGTCTGCACTGTGCAGGTGGACAAGGACCAGAGCCACTGCTGTGCATGGGGCTCTCCAGACACTGGCGCTGTGGATTGCACCGGAAGTCTTGACAACTGACAGCCTTTGGAAGCACCGACTGTGGCTGTAGTAGTTACCGAGGTGCCCCCAGAAGTGACCTGCAGAAGACTGATGGATGTGTGTGTAAACATACATACAAATGCATATTAACTTTGATTTTGAAGTTACTAAAATTAATTTTCCACCAATTGATATTTTTATTGGCTTAAATAAGTAAGCTGCCATTCATACATTTCATGTTATAATTTTAATTTGCCAAAATATGACTAGGGAAGGGTCTGGAGAGATGACTCAGCAGTTACGAGTCCTGGTTGCTCTTCCTGAGGACCCAGGTTTGGTTCCTAGCACCCACATGGCAGCTCACAGCCATCTATAACTCCTGTTTCAGGGGATCCAACAACCTCTTCTGGCCTTGATGGGTACCAGGCACACATCCATGGATATGGTTCACAGGCAGAAAGAGCTGACTGGGAATGGAGTGGGCTTTAGAAACCTCAGATCCCACCCCCAGTGACACACTACTCCTTTCCAAACCGTTCTACCAACGGGGGACCAAGCATTCAAATCTGTGAGCCTACGGAGCCCTTTTCATTCAAACCACCACTTAGGGTCACCTCTAGGAAGCAGAGAAAGCCCTGAGTGAGTGAATGTGTGCTGTGTAGTAGGCACAGCCATGTCAAGGACCTCAGAGCCTTTTGCCAGCCCCTGGGCCTCACCCTGAGGGGAAATGCAGAGGTTTCCCTTCTGGCCTGTGTGCAGATGTTGATGTAGAAAATATCCATAGTAGCTTTCTCCCTCTGAACAGTTTATGGTCCAAAGATTGCTCCTCCAGAGGCTAGCTACACCTGTGTCCTTGATCCTGCTATATACCCTAAACCCCGCCTCCTCGTTCAGCTCTGTAATAACCCTGTCTCAGGATGAGCTTCGAGGGTGCTGTGGTTTCTCCATCAGCAAGCTCCACCCACCTGACTCCAGTTCTTTTTTTTGTTAAAGATTTATTTATTTATTATGTATACAACATTCCTTCCATGTACACCTGCACACCAGAAGGGGGCACCAGATCTCATTACAGATGGTTGTGAGCCACCATGTGGTTGCTGGGAATTGAACTCAGGACCTCTGGAAGAGCAGTCAGTGCTCTTAACCACTGAGCCATCTCGCCAGCCCCTGACTCCTGTTCTTGTGTGTGTCTGTGTATCTGACTTCTCTTCATCCCCCTCACTGTCCCCGTCGAGTGCCTGGAGCATACTCACTCAAGCCATCCCCACCTCCGTCTCCTAAGAGCTGGACTACAGGTGTGAGCACCACACCCAATAAGAAACTACAGTTAGCAAATATTTATCAACCAGTTGCCTTGTAACAGGAAAACAATCCATAAAGAAACCAAAATTAGGGGAGGAAGGATTGTAGGAGCCAGTGGGGCCAAGGACACCACAAGAAAACCCACAGAATCAACTAACAGGCTCATAGGGGCTCACAGAGACTGAACCAACGAGGGAGCCTGCGTGGGACAGACCTCGACTCCCTGCATATTGTTACAGTTGTGTAGCTTGGTCTTGTGGGACTCCTAACAGTGGGAGCAGGGGCTGTCTGACTGTTACCTGCTTTTGGGACCCTTCCCTCCTACTGGATTGCCTCGTCCAGCCTTAATAGGCGGCGAGCTGCCTAGTCTCGCTTGATATACCATGGCTAGCTGATATACATGGAAGGTCTGCCCTTCTCTGAAGAGAAACAGAGGAGTGGAGGGGAAGCTGCAGTCAGGATATAAAAAACAAAAGATAAACAACAACAAAGAAAAGTTGGAAAGCCATGCAAACAGGAGCAAGCACTCATCTGGAGGTTAGCTATAGCCAGATCACATGGACCTGTAATCTCAGCTCTCGAAAGGCTGAGGCAGGAGAATGACGAATTCCAGGTAGCTTAACATGACCCCATCTCAAAGAAAGCAGTAATGGGTAAAAGTAATTCTTCTCAAAACTCAAGCCCAAACCAAATTATGGTATCCATCTCCTGGACAGAACATACCTCTTGAGACAGCCTTACTCTGTAGTTCAGAGTCCTTACAGCTCCTGTGTAGAGCCCTGGCTGGCCTCAAATTCATGGCAGTTCTCCTGCCTCCTGAGTCCTGGGATTACATGCCTAAGCCCCCACACCTGGTTGTTTAGAAGGGGAACAAGAGTCAGAACATGAAAACTCTGGGCCAACTGCTGAAGGACAGACAGAAATGGATACCGATGGGCAAAGCCTATAGGGACAGAGAAACTTCTACAGCATGCAGTTTACTGGTAAGAAGCACACAACCCAAGGGTTTAGCTTATTTAGGGTTGTGCAACTATAGTAAGTTTTAGAACACTTTTATCCTCCCATCCCCAATAAAGAGCCCAACCCAAGAAGCCATTAGTCCCCATCTACTGTACTGGCTAGTGTTTTGTCACCTTGACCAACCAGCTGGAGTCTGTTTGGAAGAGGGAACCTCGATTGAGAAAATGCTCCCTCCAGATTACACAAGCTTGTGGTGCATTTTCTTGATTGATGTGGAAGGGACCAGGCTACTGTGGGCAGTGCCACCCTTGGGCTGTGGTCCTGGGTGCTATAAACACACTCACATATACACACACGAAACCACAGGCTGAGCAAGACAATAAACAGCATCCCTCTATGGCCTCTGCTTCAGTTCCTGCCTCCAGGTTCCTGCCCTGACTTCTTTCGACGATGGGCTGTGATGTGGAAGTGTAAACAAAATAAACCCCTTCTTCTCAAGTTGCCTTTGGTCATGGTGTTTTATCACAGCAATAGAACCCCTAACCAAAACTTATTCCAGATCCCTCCTCCTTGTTTTAAGCAACCATCAGTCTTTCTCATCTGTTGTGTCCAGGCTGCCTGTTCTGGGCATCCCCATGAACTCCATGGAGTTTGGTAAGGATGAAGGCTGGCACCTTGGCTTCCCTGTCACACCGTGGGTTCATCCTATATGTTCTTCAAAAGATGCTAGTGAAGTAGCCCGGCCAGCTGCCCACGAGCTGGAGGCATCTCGCTGTTCACCCTGCAAAGCTTTCCTCCTTTCCCAGTACTTCTCCACTTCCTTCGCTTCCGGTACTTACCTCCACAGTGAGGAAATGGAGCGGAAGTCCTTGCCAGGAGTCTGAGGAGCCTGAGCTGGGGCATCCCGATAGGGGAATTCCCATTTTGACCTTTGCTTCTGAATGCATCTCATTAAGGCTTTGCAGGATGCTTGGGTGTCGGTCCGTGTGGAGGTTGTGGTCTGGCTTTATGAATTAGTCAGCCTCACCATCACTTTCCAGCATTTTATGAGTGGAAACCCGCTATACAGCTGTCCTCTGTTTACTTTCAGGAAATTAGAAGGAAGTTGTTCTTCCCAAGAAGCCAATATGTCTGGTTTTTTTGGAGGGAGGGGTGGATAAACTAGAAAAATTGCCAACAAGCCAGAAATCTACTTTAACCTGGGACTTTAACAGGGTTTTCTCTTGTTTAGTTTGAAAGTGAGGAAAAATTATTCAAAAATCTCACCAGTGTGCATTTGCCACATGGTGTTCAGCGTGTTGTTGCCAGTTAAGAGTGGAAGACACTAAGGGAAGAGTTTCCTTCCCTCGCTCCCTGTGCAAAGGGAGGGCAATGTTACAGATGACAATACCCACGGACAGTGTGGTTCATGGTGTTACAGATGACAATACCCACGGAAAGTGTGGTTCATGATGTTACAGATGACAATACCCACGGAAAGTGTGTTCATAATGTTACAGATGACAATACCCACGGACAGTGTGGTTCATGATGTTACAGATGACAATACCCACGGAAAGTGTGTTCATAATGTTACAGATGACAATACCCACGGACAGTGTGTTTCATGATGTTACAGATGACAATACCCACGGAAAGTGTGGTTCATGGCAGACTGGATTTTTTTTTATTTTTTTGAGAGCTATCCTTATTTTATATATTTTATATGTGTGAGTAATATGCCTTACAAATATGTCTTACACCATTTGTATGCCTGGTGCCCTGGAAGCCAGAAGAGGGCACTGAATCTCCTAGAACTGGATTCACAGAGGGGCAAGCTGCAGGTAGGAGCTGAGGATTGAACTCCAGTCCTCTAGAAGAGCAGACAGTGCTCTTAGCCTCAGCCACGCCTTCATGCCCTAAACTGGATTTTCACGGTTCTGCTGAAGTATATTATGTCTACGGGAAGTGCACAAGCCACAGTGTACAGATAAATGGCACCCTAGTCGTGGCGCCAAGCCCGACCCACATCCCAGAGTCCCCCCTTCCTTTTGCTTCCTTTGAGCTGCACCTTGTGAAGGCAACAGCCTTTCTGTTCTGACCGTTCCTCTGCCTTTGTATTGTGGAGAAAGAGTCTGCAGTATGTGCTTCTGGGAGTCTGAATCCTGTAACACAACATTGTGGAGTCGTCCATAGTACACGTGATAACTAGAGCATTCGTTCTCATGGTTCTACAGTATCGTACATGTTCAGACTCAGGTTTCCCAATTGAAATAGAATGCCATCCACTTGAACCTCCTGCCGTAAGGATACATCCTATGACCTCTGCTGAGCAAGGTTGCTGTAGTCATGGTGACTATTCAGTACTGAGGGATGACCAGTATGACTGAGGAACTGAATTTTTGTTTGTACGTAAGTATCTTTGTATAACTAGCCACCTATAGCACTGGCTGCCCTATTGGCTGGTGTCTTAGTTACTTGTCTATCGCTGTGACAAAACAACATGGCCAAGGCAGCTTATAAGAGAAAGCATTTAATTAGGCTTATAGTTTCAGAGGGTTAGAGTCTATGACGGTGGAGCCAAGGCATGTCTGCAGGAACAGCTGAGAGCGCACATCTTTATCCACACATAAGAGGTAGAGAGTAGCTGGGGGTGGTGGTAGAGCACACCTTTAATCCCAACACAGGTGGATCTCTGTGAGTTTGAGGCCAGCCTGGTCTACAATAGCTAGTTCTGGGACAGACTCCAAAGCTACAGAAAAGCCCTGTCTCGAAAAAACCGGGGAGGGGGGCGATCCCTTCCCAGCAGGTAAGATGGTCGCAGACTTCAGGCTTTACATTACACTTGACCACTATTTGTATTTTCTTGCTATTTCTCTGCCAAACTGTCCCTATCGGCCCAAACCCAGCACCATTTCTGAAGGTTTTTTTTTTTCTCTTTCTTTTATTAACTTGGGTTTTTTTTTTTTTTATAACTTCAAACTTGACTATGACACAATCTGATGACTTCTCTTTGCCTCTCTTCTCTCCCTCCTATCCATGTCAGCCCCGGTTCCCATTCCTTTCTCTGAGTCACAACTTTTAGCTGGTTATGTGACCCATTTGGTTTTACCAGGCTCTTTGTGTTAGACTAGAACTGTGCATTGGAGCCTGTTTGGGTCAGTGTTTATATGACTAGAGACAATGGCTCCCTCACTCCCTTAATCCATCAGTAGCAATAGTTTAGCAGGGAGGGCCGGGGCTCATCCATCCAAACCGGCTGTTGATGGGCCCATTCTTGTGTGAACCCCATGTAGGCATATGAAGCTGCTCTGAGTTCACATTTTGAGGACCTGACTTTGCAAACCCCATTTTAAAGAAGGGGCTTCATCTTAAGCCATATGAACTGGGGGGTAGGGGATCTCAGCTCCAGAAATGTGCTGCCATAGCAGGAATTGGAACAGATACCCTAAAAATGGCCAATTCAGAAGACAGGGAGCAGGGCCATAAAATTTAATGAGGTCCAGATGTTCTTGGGAGGCATCCTGTTCTTGAAGATACCTTGTCAGTTATTAATGGCTCTTTCTTAGGTTTTCGGGACCAAAAACTGACCATTGGGTTCAGAAACTACCTTACCCTATGCCCTCCTTACCCAATCCCAAGATGACAGGACATGAATTCCCCTGATTATGGTATTTCCCCTTTAAAAGTTCTCTCCTCCCAGGGATCCATGCCACACTTTCTGCACCCACCATGCTGGGGTGCTGGAAAGGTGTTAGTCCAAACTCGAGTTTGAATATTATTAAAAACCCTGATGCATCAGAAATTCAGCTCTGCAAATTCATTTGGGGACCAGA